TAAAATATGAAAAGTGTGACAATGAACACAAAACAAATGTAAAAACACAAGTGAATGTTACAAATGCTCAGGTAGGTGTGAATAGGACATATCAGATGGTGCCTTTTTTTTTTTTTTTTTTTCCAGGGCAAGCCCTTTTGCTGGTTAACCAATTTCACCCTTTCTATAATATGAGCCAATTTGATTTGCTGCAGTAATGAAGATTTACAGTGAAAAAATGGTTTCTTGTTGAAGCAAGTAGAGGTTTGGAATTGCAATTTCTTGATAAATTCCAGACTGAGTGAAGGTGATGTCTTTATTTACACAGGAATCCCCACGTGAACGTGTGGCACATACAAGCAGCTTTAGTAATATTCAAGCTAGTCTGAAATGCTGGAACTGCTAAAGATTACCTGCAGCTGAGTGGATGGGATATGTTTGCTTTCGTAAAGGGCAGAATTCAGTGCAGACTGGTTCTTTCTAGGTGCCTGTGTCAGTACTGCTGCGTACAATAGTCTGCTTGTTAAAGGGCCTGTACGGCTCACTAGGACATAGTGGTCATAGGAAGCAATCCTGTTTATATCCCTTTCACAGTTCTTGATGCAAGAACAGGAAACTAGTTCTTCTAAATGTTTGCAAGGCAGAGCTCAATTGTGCACACCCTATGTTTTAATCTGCACATCTTTCCATTTTGGAATTTGTAAAGGAGAGCTGGTGCTAATGGAAGCCTAAACTGACAAACCTTTCATCAGAAGTCTGTAATAAAATGAGAAAGATGATGCAGCCTTGGGCATCATGCACACTCAAGTCTAAATAAACACATTTCCTTCATTTTTGTTTTCCAGCATACCAACATTCCATAGTGCAGACCACAGAAAACCATAGAGCCCTGTGACTAGTAATTCACAGGCACAGAGCAAGCATTGTAATGTATGTAGAGTACCATATCCCCTCCCATTGATGTTGTATGGTAACGCTACATCAGGGAGCCGTTGATGTGTGAAAACATACTGCTCTTGCCCTTAGGGTTTGTTCACACTGGATGCGGTGTCATTCATTATTCTATTGTAGAGTATTGTAACGTGTTGGCCATCAATTAATGCTCCAAACTTTCTGCAATATTCTACATTTGAAAAAGATAATATGTTGTTTTCAAAAGGGCTGCATGTTGCGAAAAGTACTCATATCTACATTTTATTTTCATTTCACTGGACCATCAAAAAACAAGCCAACACAAATGTTAAGTGCCAGTTAAGCATAGCAGGACAAGTGCTTTGCTGTTAACATAACTCAATGACATCTGTAGCAAAGGTTTTTATTGTTTGTCTTTTAGTGAGGATTCGTTTTAAATTTGGAAACACTACTAAATCTTTCTAACAAACCTCTGCTTCACCTACAGCTCATCTGCATTTGCCCCACAGTCTTGTACACAAGGGCAATATACTGTATGTGGCACCCTTGTGTCGCTTTAACAGTTAGCCGCAGAGTGGTCTCCAGGTCCCGAGACATCCTTTCTTTTTGAGTATGCATATGGATGGGGCGAAGTTAATCTGAAATGTCACCTTTTGGTACTGTGCTCTGCTTGCGGCCCTCTATGGCAAGTCAACAATCCTATTTTTATACTTACCATGAAATAGATTTTTTGAAATTCATTAAAGGACACGGGGCCCAAAATCAACCCCCCCATGTTTGGGATTTACTCCGATTTACTGCTTTTCTAAAAACTGAAGCATACTGGGAGTGGGAGGATTTATACCTGACTGGTCAACAACAGGTTCATAGTAGGTTTAGAAATCCGGTTTGATTCACCCTCTCCGATTATCTCTGTTACCATTGTCACTTGGACAGAAAGTTATAAAAAAAATCTAAAATTTGTAACCAGGACAAGAAGTGATGGCAAATCTTCCTGAGGTGACTCCTGTTCCAAGATGGACAAAATGGGGCTGACTGGCTTCATAGATGAAAAATCCAACAACATGTGTACCCCTACAGACGAAATAGAGCACAACTCCATGAACCATAATATAATATAGGGATTATTATACAGGATTTATATAGCGCCAACAGTTTGCACAGCGCTTTACAATATGAGGAGGACATTAGAGTTACAATACAAGTCAAGACAAAATGGTTAAAGAGGGCCCTGTCCGTGAGAACTTACAATCTAAAAGGGAGGGGATCATGCAGAATCAATGATGTCCATCAAAAATTGTGCTCAAGTATGTAGAATGCCCCTAGACATGATCAGGAATTGCACAAAGTGCACTAATTGTAGATAGTTCTGAATCTATCCATAAACCACAATGTCTTGGATCTCCGATTGCAGTAGCAGCCAGTCACCACAGGTATCCAAGTATATAATCTAAGAGATGTTTCACACTACTTTGAGAAGCAAACACTTGAGTACTGCCTGCTTGAACCATGTTAGTCAATACAGTTCCCAGTGTGGCTTGACAAATCAAATGCCAGAGCATTATGCCCCTAATCAGACAAGATGTCAGGCTGCATTAAGCTAATTAAACATTACTAAACCACTTATTTACAAGTAATAAGTATTTTACCAACCCTAAAGTGGTGCTGCGATTGGGCATTGAAGCCTATTTATTAGCATGGTAGCCAAGGAACCAGCATTCTCAAGAGCAAAGCTTGGTGATGCATCCTCCATTATTCTCTCATGACCCTTGACTTCTTTAATGCACCCTCAGCTCTAGTTTGGCATGGTAATCACAGATAATTATAGAAGTGATGACTGTCACTTTAATGCCTTTCCCTGCCACAGACATTATGGCATATGGGGAAACAGAGGTGCTTGCAGCTTGCCAGGCCAGTATAAATTACATTGGCTGCCTTCTGCCTTTTGCTGTGAGCTCCTGGTCGCTTTAGCAACCATAAACCTATGATAAGGGTCCCGTAGACTCTTCTGAGTAAATGAATAGGTGATCACAACCAAGCATGAAAAATGTAGTCTGTAGAGATCTGTGTTAATAAACGCTGGAGCTGCAGGGGAGCAGATCGAGGACCAAAGGGAAATATTAGGGGTCTGTTTAGTATGTAATAAATAAATGCTGGTGTGCATTGTGCACATAGATTGCAGTGTGATGTTAAGCATTGCAGAGCTTGATTTAATCTTTCTTTTTTCACTTTCTAAAATAACATCCATTCAACTATATGCCGCCACCATTTTTTTTTTTTTTTAAAGGCATGACTTAAAATTTACAAAAATGTGTTATTAGTTCACTCAATATAGTTTTGTATTTTAGATTTAGTAGGGGTTATATAAGTTATGCTGGTTTTCTGTGTGCTACTAATAATTTATAAATGATAAACATTTATGCAATTATAATGGGACTTGCAAAATCAGTAGCACCATTTTTTATGTTATTGATCCTGCACATTCAGAAAATGTATTATTATTATACAGGATTTATACTGTATAGCGCCAACAGTTTGTGCAGCGCTTTACAATATAAGGAAGACATTACAATCACAATTCAAGACAAGATGGTAAGGAGGGCCCTGCACGTGAGGGCTTACAATCTAAAAGATTGTATGTATGGTTTGAGGGGTGTATTTTACAATCTCTGAAAGCTGTAAGTAAAACCATTCTAGTGCAGAGGTGGAAAGCAGAGTCTGTCAGCAAAAGTCTATGCCCAGGTTCACACCTAGTGTATTGTTTTTGTGCGTTCATGCACGTTTGTTCTCCGTGTTTGCACATCCCCATTGATTTTAATAGATTCCATTACGCATGACAAACGTGGAAAAGTAGTGCATGTAGCAAAATCTGCGACATGCGTTCTAAGTTTTTCACTTCTGCATTTTTTGTGCATTTTAAATTGCGCAAACGCAGAGGAGGGATGTGCGTACTCCTGGCCTCATTTGGGGTGCCATTAAGTAATTTTTTGCGAACATGCTTCAAAATGCAAATTTTTTTCCCCCCGTGTTTTGACGTTCGTTTCCACAACGCTTAGGTGTAAACCGAGCCTTAAACAAGCTGCTGTCTGGCGTTCCCCCATTTCTAGGTGTACAGTGTTCAGGCTAACAGGATTGGGTTCCCCCTTTTCTGTTAAGGCGCACTTCCATAGTGCTGTGAGTGCCCCTTGTGCGTTTCAGCATTAAGCATCTCATTCCCAGGTTTGCAAGGCTTCCACCTGGTCTTCACAATTCTACTAGGTGGATGTTTCTGCCTCATTTGATATCAGCTTGAGTTGTAAGGTCCTTCAAATGCTTCTTTGAGCTGTAGGCAGTCCCCAGTTTTTGTTATGTTGGGCCTGTGTCCACACCTCAATTAGACTGCTTTTAGTCGGTGTCCCTCAACGGATTCAAATGAAAATAGGATATTTGTATTCACTATAACATCCTTTGTCCATTCAGGGACACAGCTCCCAGCATGTTTTGTTTACTACAATGCTGTCAGTAATGCTTTTCTAGAAAACTGAGGCATGCTGGTAGTAGGGGTTACACCCGGGGCTGGCCTACATGTTTTCTTATTTGCAGGTGTCCAATCCTCTTGTAGATGGGAGTAGAACCCCAAGGTTACACGACTTCTTGTATACTCCAAGAAAAGGATTTTCGTACAAACATTCTATTTTTACAGTTGTCCCAGATATCCATAAATGTAAACCAGTGGACTGATTTTCTCTTTACCTTTGCAGCAAATAAAGGTTGATACTTGTAACAAAATCATAGAGGGAACAAAGGGGGAGGACTCAGAAAAACGTTGCACTTTATGGAGAAAAGCGAGCCAGAAAAATGCATGCAATTTTATTGTACACTAGTTTTGGTACTAGAGATGATGATTTAAGTAGAAGGTAATGGCTTAATTGTTTACCATTGGCTATTGAGGGTTTTCCTGTTTATGTGGTATATTATGTGATATTTATGTGCTCTAACATATGAGTAAAACTTAATACAAACTTCTTCTTGGTTTCATGTGACCCAACCACTACTCATTTCCTCTAGTCTTATATGTTCACCTCCCTTATGTAATGGAATGCTGTTTCAATACGTATTTGTACTTTTAGATTGAGATCAAAATGAAGAAGACAGAAGCTGTTCGATGGGATAAACTAGAGGGTCAAGCAGATTATCAATTAAAACATTTCACACCAGGTATGTATGATATTTCCACGCAGTATTTTAAGTGATCATAGACACAGACAACCTTATCCATCAGACATTGGGGGACAAGTCAGTTGTGAATGATAGTGCACTTACAGCATGCATTTTGCAGCCGTTGTTTATCCAAGGCCTGCTGTTGTCTGGCCCCCTAAATATAGTCCAGTAATCAGGAGCCAGAATATATCTATGATGATTTTAAAGCCTGACCGGCAAGTGTGAGGCCAAAAGAATGGAGGGGGCCTAGCTACTGTTACATGTGCAGAGATGCTCTGCTGCTTCCAGTTATAGAATTATCTGCTTAAGGTACAGTACTGATTGCTTTGTCACATTTGTCAAAGGGGATTGATCTGACTGCCTTTTACTGTAGGACAGTGTGGCACTGACTCACTTTTTTGTGGCACTGACTTGCAGTTCACGTGGTGAAAAGGAAGTGGAAATGGACCAATTTTTAGTTAGTGTGGTAGCTCAAAGTCTGTTGCAAGCTGCTACGTATAGGGTAGAGGTGGGGGCCCGGAGGTCCCTGCACTTATCTGTATATTATGCTTTGCTTCAAAACTGAACTATTCTGATCAGGCAGAGGTTAGCGTCGGGTCTTGCCATTAAGCCTCCCCCACAAATGCCTACTTGCCTGTCAATATATTAGGCAGTCTCACTGGTCAGTATGAGTTCGGAGGGAGGGTTAATAACTCTTCAGCATATTGAGGAAGTGCTAAAGTTTATCCAGATTTGAATGGCCTGACATTCCAGCAAAGCAGAGGATACTGAAAGCTGCTGCAGATATGTGCAGGGACATCCAATTTCCGTAGTTTGAAAGCAATAGGGTCTCTTTACGTTAACATGCATTTTGCATTGATGCATTATATGTGCAGATTACAATTATCTTTATTGTTATTGTATTATGCCATGATGTTCTGTGTTGCTGAACAAATCAAGGGCTGCAAACAAAAGTAAATATTGGAGATAGTACAAATCCATAGGAAAAAAAAAAAGAAGACATTGTGAGATGACCTAAAAATGGCATTGCATAGCAAGATATACTAAAAAAAGGACTTTGCGCGCAAATAGAGAAACTGATTTTGCAAGTGTAACATCTGTTCTATATGATGTATTGCATTATGCTTAACCCTTTCGCTGCCAAGCCCTCCGGAACATTTTTCAAATCAGCTGGCCAAGCCATTTTTGAATTTTCTGCAATTTTTTCCTATTGATTTGATTTTCAACTGCTGCGTTGCTAGCGTTTGTAAAAGACCCCCCAAACCATATATTTTCTGAAAGTGCAGGCCCGGTAGAATAAAAAGATGGTGATACTAAATTTGTAGGCCCTGCGATAATTGCGCAAATGTTTCTCAAATTAATATTAAACCGATAAAAATACACAATTCAATTGTTAAAACACACCAAAATCAGTATCCGTGCACAAAAGTTTTTACTTTTAGCGAAATGCACTTTTGGGCAGGCAATAACTTCCTTTTGTGAGATTGCCTTAATTTTAAGTCTCATAGGTTCTGTTTAAATTACACACACTTTGACCTTAAATAGCTAAAGCTGGCTTCCAGCTAAACACTAAAATACATATACTATATATGAGAGCTGTTTTACCTGCAAAAGGATTTGTATTTATCCAATCATTCCGGAGATATACACAGCCCTTATAAACAGCACTTACAGCCTGGTGAGCTGGCATTTTCCCCCTACTGCAGGGGGATGAGCAACAGACTGATTAAGTCTTCTCTCTGTGCTCTCCTCCTCTCAGCATGTCTGCAAGCACATGTAGACTGCAGGACACTTGATTGACTACTATTGCTGTCCTTCCCTCTTCCAGTCTAAGGCTGGGCACACACCTTACAACCATCGCAAGACTTTTGTCTTGCGATGGTTGTAAGGTACTTAAAAAAATGTACGATCTGCCTATCTTGCATAGGCAGATCATACTTGCAATGATCGCAAGCCATGCCCCCTGAGGGGCGGGCTTCCGATGACCGCAATGCCGAACGGGCAGTGTGCGCTCACCGGCCCGTACGGCTGTTATCGTACGGACATGCCACAAACCCGCCGAACATCGTACGATGCTCGGCGGGTTTTCGAACATGTCCGTATTTTTTACATTTATTGCATTCATTGTTTTTTTTTAAATATTTGCTTGAAGTTAAGATATAAGAACATATTCGCTTTCTTTGGCTGAGCAGAAAGCAGGCACGGAACTGGAACTAAAGCACCTTTAAATTGGTGCTTTTTTGAGACTTGCTGTATCTGCTTTCTAGAAAGAAAACAAAAACAAATCTCGTACCCTAAGGGCTAGTTCACACCATAACTGCATTGCAGCTGCATCTGGTGTGAACTAGGCTTAAGCTACTATAGCTTGTATCCATTAGCAGCATTATAGGGAGATCTTAGGAGATACATTAAAAGAACACCATCATGAAAGTGTTTATATTCCAGTAACTTTGTGGTTAATATATTGAATTTTAGTATTCAGCATATAAATTCCTTTTTTTTTTGTTTGCCATGCCTTTATTATTTATTTATACTTTTAAATACAGATGAAACAAAAGTGACAGTTTAAATTGTATATCTATTACCTATCCTTATTATTATTATTATTATTATTTAGAACCCCTGTCAGGTTTTACTGCTACCTGGGGCTCTGTTAGAGAGCTTTCTTCAGACTGGAAGTGAGGGAAAATCTGTGATGGGGAAACAATAAAAAAAATTCTGACAGTGGTACTAGCATTTCCCTACTAATGTTCTGATACTGTTGGATAGATTTTCCCTCACTTCCTGTACTGGGGCAACCTTTTTACCAGACAGGAAGTTAAATCATCTTCCCAATGAAGCGTCCAACAGCATTAAAACCTGATCTGAGTTCTAATCCTTACCCATTGTATCCAAAACTAAAACAAATCTGTTGGCTATAGATACACTTTAAATCGAACACTGTTGCTGCATTTGTTTGTAGCACCCCTGGCAGCCCCAACCCTGTCACTGCCACTTTTACAGAGCTAATTGGTCTGCAAGTGCAGAAAAGTATAAATAGAAACATGAGGAAAAGGAGTTCAAATCCTGGACTACTATATTCACTTGTATTACTATACAGTCATCAGAATATAATGTTGTCTTTGGAATGGAATGACAGTGATTCCCTTCCTTAGTGGAAAGGACTTGGTAAAACAACCCACTTATTAGTACACATTCAGGGCATTGTAGAACAATAGCTGCATCCTAGGTGTACAAGTAAAAGGCTTATACCTATATTACGGAGCCTGATTTAGCTTTAATAAATTGCTACCTTGTATACAGTACTAAGGCTGGCAAAACTAGGGTAGCGTACACACATTGTTCTATCATTCAGGTATTTCAATTGCTTATTTACTTGTCAGTATAATGAAAGTCTATAAATATGGTGCTCAGCATAAATAGCACTGTAAGTGCTAACATAACTAAGTATTTTGATATCCATCTAGCACATTGATAAGTTTATTCTTCAAAGTGGCCGCTAGCTTTTACTAAAACATAATTTCTTTTTCGCTCATTAAGGGACGTAGGATTCAGTTATTTAGAGACTACTGAGTTACACTGCCCTCTTCCATTGGCCAGCCAAGTATAAGCCCTCAAACTCCCATTATGCTTCAGTTTTCTGTTCGTGTCCTAGGAGGATGGATTTTTTCCTCAGTCAAGACTTCCATCTATATACTGCTGGAGTTTGCTTTTTATGCATCTCTCCAGATCGGTGTGTCCTCAGCAATGTCTTTGGAGGCCTAACCCAGACCCCACTTGAATAAAGATTCCAGACCTTTGTATACATTGTCAGTTAGCCACAGAAGTGCTTTCTAGGTTCAGAGCTGTGGTCCAGTCTCTGAAGACTCCGAGTCTCATTGTTTTCATCTGGCCATAGAAAATCTGCAGATAATCCATAGGTGTATGGTCTTCTTACAGGACTGTGCTTACAGCTTTGAATTGCTGTCCAATCACCTGAAGGTAGCTGCATAATCCATTGGTTTAAGAATTAACTCCCTGTGTTCTGTGATGTAAGCCTAGAAATTGATTTGACTGGTATGACAAAAATGCTATTTTATACAAGGAAAACATAATGGTGCTTGATATGAAATGGGCTTAATGACAGTAAAAACTGCTTATTTACATCCCTGCCTGTCATGGGTTTGCAGTGCAGTATTCTGATGAATCAGCTGTCTTATGTTCCCAGATTCTTTGCACAAATACCCAACATCATCTCACCATACCAAGAATTGGGACAAGTTGGTTGGTGAAATCAAGGAGGAGGAGAAAAATGAAAATCTTGAGGGAGATGCTGCACTGAACAAACTATTCCAGCAGATTTATTCAGATGGCACTGATGAAGTAAAGCGTGCCATGAACAAGTCATTTGTAAGTATTAAAAGCATCTGCACACCTTCCCCAACTTCATTATAATGCGGTTTTAATATGAAATAAATGCTTTGCATGTGTCCAGAACTGAAGATCTACAATTATATCTTAAGTATCTCTATTCATCTGTTAATGAAACCCAGTTTTAGCTACTTGCTGGGTTTGCCTTTGCTGAACTGCAGCTTTTCAGTTCAACTCTCTCTATTTCCTCCTATAGTTGCCATTTATTGTCCAGCACGAGTCTTGGTGTTGCAGCTAAATTGTCTATATATTTTTGTGGAAAATCGGCACATATAGCACAATTGCCTTATATGGTCTAAAAGACATTGATGGCTTAATGGGCTTAGTAACATCACGTCGGGGAGATCTTGTAGCCAGATATCTAGTCACATCGAGGTGTTGTATGTATGGGCATAAGACCTGTTTAGGGTTTATTGTACCTACTTGTGCTAAACAGTTTCAAAGGTATCGTAGGGGAACATGGAACAGTGCCTGTGTATAAAAAGCTCTGAGAAAATATGGAGGTGCTGTTGTTGACCTCTTACACTGGTACTGGCTTCTTTGCTCTGTCAGAATGCCAGCTCCAGTATGTTGGATGCATTGGAAGACCTCAAGAATAGCAGAGCACTATTGTGCTTGTCACACGTTACCAGTTTTATATCAAACATTTTTGGAACGTCCACAAAGGTAATCAGCCCCCCCCCCCTTGTTTGCCATTTTTTTTAATAGTGAGCATATACTGTATATGTTTGGCTTGCATTCTTGTAATCATGGAATATGACTCTTTAACCCCTTCGTGACTGACGACGTACAGTGTACGTCGCCAGCATCGGGGCTGTTTAAACAGACTCCCGGCGACTTTTGCCGCCGGGAGTCTGTTTAAACTTGTAGAGCCGACTGTCGGCTTTACAACAGAAGCGATCCTGGCGACTTGCCTGTCGCCAGATCGCTTCTGCGTCCCGAAGAAGGGGCCGCCCCCCCGCCGGACACCCCCGCCGTGCTTCCCGGGCTCCGATGAATTGTAGCAGTGCAGCACTTGCTGATCACTCCCTGGATTGGAGTTATATGTGCAGTTAGCTGATCAATGAAACCATCTGTATTTCTCTTAATACAGGTCTCTTAAAAATATATCTTAACCACTTGCTGACCGGGGGGTTGACACCCCCTGCCTGTTGAGGCCGTTTTTCAGTATTCAGCGCTGCTGTACTTTGACATTTATTCCGTCATGCAAAGCTGTACTGAAATTAATTTTATACTATTTTATAGGGACAGATAGAGCTTTCTGTTGGTGGTATATAATCACCACTGCGGTTTTTATTTTTTACTATATAATGAAAAAAGTACCGAAAATTTGGAAAAACAAACCTGTTTTCCCTACGTTTATGTCATAAAACAATTATTATTACCTACATTTTTGGAAAATATAAGACGCAGTCACGTCGGGTAAATACCATGTCACATGTCAAGTTTTAAAATTGCGTGCGCCCACAAAATCGCAAAAAACTACCATGCCTAAAATTGGCCATAGGCGACGCTTTAAAAGCTTTTACCGCTCATCAGTTTGGTGTTATCGGTGATTGATGGCCCTAGAATGATTGCTCTCACTGCGACGTTTGCGGCGATATGTAACGCGTGGCTTAATCGTTTTTGCACATAGGCATACCTGACACATATTTATGTCTATAAGTGTGTGTGCTGGAGGTGGGGGACTTAAAACTTTTTTGGGTGTTTTTTTTTTAAAATGAGACTTAAATTTTTTTTTTTTCCACTTAACTTGATTGCTAAAAAGCCCCCTATGTTATAGCTAGAAAACAAAGACAGGTCCTCTTAATGGGGACCTCAGGGGTCTCCAAGACCCATAATGTCACCTAGGGACCCCCAAAGAAACCCATGAAGCAGAGATCTGCTTTATCAGCTTCTTCTCTGGCTCTCAGCCAGATAAATGACAGCTAAAGGCGGAAATTATGTAATAGACATCGCTTCCGACTTTAGAGAGAGGAGGGGGAGAGATCAGCGGTGGGGGAAATGCTGATCTCTCTTCCTTCTCTCTACGAGCAGTCACTGAGGCGGTGTTCTCGGTCCCAGGCACCGCAGAGGGAGGGGGCGCCACCGCCAAGTGACTCGTCTGTGCACAAAAACTCGTGTGCAGAAAAAATGACCGCAGATGTTCTGGACTGCTGATTCTAGATTTGGAATCAAAGGCCTGGAGAGCGGTTCAATAATGAATGTCTGCAGCAACACTCAAGCAAAGTGGGGGTTTCTTGCAGGTTTGAGGCTGCATTTCTGCACATGGAGTTGGAGATTTGGTCAGAATTAATGGTCTCCTCAACGCAGAAAAGTGCAGGCAGATGCTTATCCATCATGCGATACCATCAGTCCTGTCTGACTGATGATTGGTCCCAAATTCATTCTGCAGCAGGACAATGGCCCCAAACATACAGCCAAAATCATAAAGAATTCTCTTTAGTGAAAAGAACAAGGAGTCCTTGAAGAAATGGTATCACCCCCAGAGAGCCCCAATTTCACCATTATTGAGTCAGTCTGAGATGACATGAAGAGACAGTCTAAAGAAGGAATGTGGTTAGTTCTCCTACATGCTTGGAACCACCTACCACTGAGTTCCTTAAGCTGCGTGTGCAAGGGTACCTAGGAGAATGAATGCTGTTTTAAAGGTAAAAGATGGACATACTACATTTTTATTTCACTTCTTTTTTTCTGTTTTATATAATTTGTAGGTTGCTAATTGTAAAATAAGAACTATTTATTGTGTTGTTTATGAAGTCATCCTTACTTTACAGCATTTCTTTGTCACTGTATCAGGAGCCATTATATCCTGCATATGTAAATCCTAAAAACATGTCATGCCTGAGGTACCAAAGGACTAGAGTTGTTAAACCGTGATTTAAGCAGTGCTTCAACCCACTGGCAGCTAAATCAGTTGGGGCCAATATAAGCTATAGGCTACAGCTGGTGACTATGCATCTACTACATGGTAGTTTTTCTAACCAGTGAGACAGCTGCCCTATTTAGATTCAGAGCTACTTGTCCATTTATGTGCAGGGATGAATGTTTCCCCCACTACCAGCCTTAGCTCTGTAATGTATCCCAGTTAGATTTACTATGCTGGTTGTGAATTTATGGCTTTATTTTTCAACGGTCTTCCATTCATTTAATTTCTCTTCTTTATTGTTAAATCCATTGGTAGAGATCTATTTCATTAAAAACAAAATAATAATGTAAAATTCTGTGTCATGCTCATAAAATGGATTGCAATGACTTTTTGTTCTTGAAATACTGTTTTTCCCAGGACTGCAACTGCATCAGCTTTGGGATTGAAAAATGACTGATGCAGAAAAGAAAATTAACATAATCTTTTTGTGCAATAAAATCCGGCTAGCTCTGTTTAATGAAAATCGAATGTGACTAATAACATTTAAAAGAACTTCCATTTTAGCAGCGTGAAGTTAGATGTCTGAAATTTAGTAAGAGAAAAGCACCTTTTGTATGAAGTGTAAAGATTATTCACAATGCATGCATTGCTCGCCTGGTAATGCAATTACTGATGTATGAGCCAGCCCTGCTCCATTTCTACTTTGAATGTGCTGAGGAAAATATTTTGGTGCTGTTCAGGTGACATGACAGGCATTCGTTGTATCAGTACCCATAAATAACTCAAGTCTGCTTTGTACCCTCATTGCCTAACGTATGCGATCTGCTGAGAAAAATGTTTCATATATGTACATGACTACCACCGCTCCAAGCTATGTTTGGCTCCTGCTGGAATGTCACATGACCACGGTAAGGCAGCATGAAATGTGTTCAGGCAGCGCTATTGGTTGTCAGCAACCATGTAATCCTCTCAGGCCACCTCCACCAATGTTAAGTGGTCTTGCATATTATTATTATGCAGGATTTATATTGCAGTTTGTGCAGCGCTTTACAATATAAGAAAGACATTACAATACATGAGAGCTTACAATCTTGGGGTTGAAGTCTAAATTAAGTAAATATTTCAAGACTTGATGCATTTTTTTAAACAAACATTGACACAATAGACTCAATGGGGGGAATTTATTAAATGAATTGCGTCAGTTTTAGCCTCTAGATCCATTTTTTTATGTGCAAATCTGTCTTTTAACATGTGCCCCTGTTTTGACCTGAGCTTGCACTACTTTTTCAATTGCTTCTTCAAGAAGAAACAGTTAAGCTTTTTGCCTGTAGTTACAAGTCTTCTTTCCTGGAGTCTATTAAACCTCATCTATGAACAACATTACACTAGCATCATAAATCTGGCGCAAAGTGAGTCAAATATATCCCGTGCAGGTTCGAACACTCGCCAATTGCTATGATAAATTCCCCCCATTGTGTCTTGCAAACTACCAAATGTAGCTCTGTACTGTTAAGTAGAAATTCTTCATGTGGTTACTGGTTTTTGTACTTATGAGGGTAGACACCTAAGACGAGAAGAAAATGGGGGTGGGGTATTGTCAATGGATGGTTTATAGTGAGAACTGGCAATCCTGGCACAAGACTCAACACTACTAAAACCCCTCACCAGTGAGTGTGCGTAAGTGCCCACCACTGATGGATGGACAAAAGTTAGAGCTGCTCTCGTCCTGTGAAGACTGGACAATGTGAATAAAGTTTCCTGCCTAACAATAGTACATATGGTTAAAGGAAAAAAACAAAACCTAAGATGATTAAAAACAAAAGCAATACAATGAACAATTTTTAACAAAACAACCCCCCCCCCCCCACTATTCCAGCAAAAGTAAACAGTTGTCACCAATGTGAATTAATTTTGTTGTAAGCTCTCACTGACAGGGCCCTCCTTACCATCTTGTCTTGAATTGTATTGTAACTGTTATGTCTTCCTTATAATGTAAAGCGCTGCACAAACTGTTGGTGCTATATAAATCCTGTATAATAATCATTTTGTTTGCATAAACCTGCCACATTTCTTCACAAACTTGTGTTCTGATCATTTCTGCATGCAGATTCCTGGCCTTCATACACAGGTACACCATACTAATGTGCCAGGGCTAGTAAAAGAGCCGTGTCTTATTATGGGGAGTTCCGTTATGTTCAAAACCTTGGTATACCTGAAGGGCTCACTTTATACATGCTGCTTACAAAATCTGTCTAAAGGATCCGAGGATGATTTGTCTTCATCACTTCTTTCAAATCATATTTGTGGTAAACACAATGTTTGTCATGCACCTTCATTACATTGCAACCTCAGTGTTGTATACGTCTATCTGAATCATTCTCTGCATTTGTGTTTTTTAGTTTTGTATTGGGGATAGCAATGAGTTTTTTCTTTTTTGGCTGTCCTGTGGTCTCATTGGAGAGTTTTAAGCTAAACCCGCTTATCCCTGTAATGGGCAGCCACAAGGAATACACTACAGATTGGGATACAATATCTATCAGATGTGACAGACAGTCAGAAAAGCTCACTTATTTTGTAAGGAGTGCTTAGAACATTGTTTTGTTTTGTGCTCTGTCTTCTCGGTGACCCTAGCTTCCTCTCACCCTCTGTCCTGTTATTCACGGGACAGGAAGTGAGGGGAAATCTGCCAGATGGAGGCACAAAAACTTGACTCGTTTTTCCACTCTGTTGAGTCAGCTATAACTATTGGTTGGTGTTGTGCACATCTGTACAAGTGTCCTTCACACTACACTAGCTTTGCTATGCCTGCTGACAATGTTTCTCTGTCTTACAGATGGAGTCTGGTGGCACAGTCCTCAGCACAAACTGGATGGATGTGGGCAAAAGGAAAGTTGATGTGAATCCTCCAGATGACATGGAATGGAAGAAATTCTGATTTCCGTCTCTCAGGAGTGCAGTCAGAATGTGATCTGTGTTTATTAAGCAATGTGGTGCCCAACGTTCAGCCTTTTATTTTCTTCCACCTCATGTGCTCTTTCAGAACGCTGTTCTTTTACTCCAGAATGTCACATTGGCAATGCTTTGTGTTCGTGGCTTCTGTTAAATGTTGTAAAGGATTAAATCACAAGTCTACCCTCTCCATTAATACAGATTTACAGGAAGGAGCCAGCTCGGGAATCTGAAGTATAATTCCGAATGCGCATCAAGCTATTTTATTAGTAATCAGGGTGGTAAATGTCATCACACCTGACAGTCTGTTGTAAATCTTTCAGTTTCCTTATTGTTTGCCCTTTTATGAAAAGCAAAATACAAATATACTTTTTCCAATAAACTGTCACTTGTTTTTCTTTCTCCCCCCACTTTGGTTTTAAGCTGCAGAAGCTCTAGCTAAGCTCATGGAAATGTACAGTCTAGTACTTTGTAATTTATACATTAACAGGGAGACTTGATGTCCCATTTGATTTGCATAGCAAGTCCAAAATACTGATGGCTGCCTGACATTACTGGAAATAAGCAATCGAACAGCGGGAGTTTTACACTGCATATCATTCATATGTTTGTCACCAAATAAAGCAAATTGATTTGTACAGGTGTAAACTCAGTACAGATGGAGAAGTAACGGGGAAAATAAAAGACGACTTTGTTTTTGAAAGTATAATATGCATATATTTAAATGGAAATTATTCCAGTCCCAATGTGACAGGCAGCTACATATTTATAATATCTTAAAAATATCAAAGCAAATGAGTTAAGGAATATGTATTACTGTTAACATTCAGGCTGTGAGCACTTCAGTAAATACATTCAAATATAGACTGTTCTCCTCCTCCTGTGGACTGTAGACAATCGGCTATTTCAGACAATGCAATGTGGTGACCCTAACCAGCCAACAATTTAAAAATACATGTTTAGCTGAAAAAAAGGTGCAAACTCTACAGCATTATATATGATGGAAAGATTGGTACATTCCAGTTGTCTGCAGCACACCTGCGGTACAGCACACCTGCCTTCCCACTCCCCTTAAGTTGCCTGACATGACTTTAAGGAAGCCCTGCCGTACACATGCCTTTGGGCAGTTAGAGCAAGCCTGTTTATCTCTCTAGTATCTGTGGCCAGCTGTAAAGCGCTACTTTTACTTTCCTAGATTTTAGGAACACTCACCCCTGAAGATTCCATCTTGGTCATGCTTACATCCGTTGCAACCTAAATGTGATTATGTGCAAAATTCCAAACACAGACACCTGGTGTGGTGACAGTGGGCCCTGCTATAGAGTAGAATAGTAGCCCTCGTCAACAGCTTAGCACATGCTCCAGAAGACTGCCATTATACTCTGACAGATCCCACATTCATTTTTGTGCATGTGTTAAGTCTCTTTGGTTGATCATTTGTGCTGCCAGCAAAGCAAAAAAAAACAAAACGATTATAAAAACAAGATCGGATATCTTGGGGTTCATGGGGCAAGGACCGTTTTTGGTTAAAGTGAAGTTGCACTTTGAGTATGCAATATAAAGTCCCCTTTTGTTATGCTTCCACTTGTCTGCTAAATAGCTTATTCACAAAGGTAGGAAAAGGAGTCATTCTAATGTGCAAAGTACAGCATAGGAGCCAATCAGGTTTCAGTTGCCATGGTAATGTTTGCAAAGATGAATTTTTATTGCTTTTAGTTTTTTCAAAAAGCGTGTATATATATCATGTCCTGCAAATGTCTCCAGAGAGTGATAGTGGATTGAATAGTGTACACTTTCCTTTCCTAGAATGACGCCTTTTAGACAAAACGTTTTATCCAACCCAGTTTAGAGTAACGTGACGGTATGTGTGTATATATTTATATATATTTTATGAGGTTTCACTCCAAGAGTAGAGCTCTGTCAATGACTTGGTCTACTCGCCAACATTGTTTATGTGCTTATTGTCAGGACGGGTCAGGGAGGAAGGAGCTCTGGCTGGTCAGACTGATTGCTCTTTTGTGGGGAGTGCATCCACATGACAGTCAGTCCCACACCTGCTCCGAGACCTCTAGATGCTGGACCAAGCTGAATATGCCGTTTTACACAGTGGCAGTGTTAGTCTGTAACATATTTCCCCTCTCTGTTTAAACCCAAGGTTCGGAACACGCAAGCAATGCTCAACTTCTCTGAGCTCTACTGTATACACATGAGATAACTCTTTCCTTCTTTCAGATGACGCCTACCACCCACATGGGCACTCTCCTGCCTGGTACTAGTTCCATCCCAAGAAATGCAAGCCTGTCCAACCAAGGATCCATATAACCTTTATGTAGAATGTTCTCTTGTGTCTTTTATATATATATATAGACATGTCTGCTAGGATCATGTACAAACTGACCTTTTAACAGGTACCTCTCCAGTATGCTTCCAAAGAAACCTTCTGCAGTGGCCTACCACTACTCTGCCATGATTACCAAAGAGACATTCTAAACACTTCCTACAGGTATGTTTTCAAGAGTGATGTCTGACAGTTGTAATCTTGGTCACACCAGCTACATTACAATCAGAGCATTTACCACCCCTTGTATCTTGGTGGTTATTAAAGAGACTCCTAGGCAGGGGCAGCGATCTGTAAGCTCTTCTACCTATACTTCCTTTATAGGGTTGTGCAATACCATTGCTCTGCAAGGGTTGTCCGGGCTTCAAGGGTCTAGGCCAAAATATTTTCTATGTACCCTTGCGTAGACTTACATTGCTCAAGTGTACAGAAATGCAGCCAGGGTTTACACTTGGGATAGCTATAACTGGTCACAGCGATCGCATGGTACAGAGCACGCTTTTTGGCCCTTTTGCATGTGGTCATCACAGTTCAATCACTGGCTTTGGTACTTTGAGCCACTGTCCTGAAACAAGCTCTGCAGACTTTGAGAACGCTTCGCATTTTAAAACAGCCCTGACCAAAGCATGGACTCCACTAGATCTCCAAGTCCTGGTTCACACCTAGGTGTCACGGTTATTTGCGCGTTTATGTGCGCTGTGCACATTTGTATGCGCGTTTTGATTGGCAGTTCATAAACCATTGTGGCAATGGAAGGATGCGATTATAAACACGCAAAAACACTAACGAAAATGTGCAACATGCTTCTGTTGCGCGTTTTTGTGCATTTCCAATGAAGTCTATGGGGAGAAAAAGCGCTTTTAACTGCCCAAAGAAGCTCCTGTATCTTTTCAGGCATCTGGGGTTTTCCTGCTCAGGTGTGAACCAGGGCCATTGAAAATCATGGGATTTCCTGTGTTGGGCAGTTAAAAGCACTTTTCGAACTGCTCAGAAACGCCTAGGTGTGGACCAGGGCTAAAGGTATGCTGTGGTATCTGGCATTAAGCCATCAGTAGCAGATACTTTAAGTCCTGTAAGTTGCGAAGTGGGGCCTCCATGGATCGGACTTGTTTTTTCAGTACGTCCCACAGTTGCTTAATTGGATTGAGATCTGGAGAATTTGGAGGCCACATCAACACCTCAAACTTTGTTGTGTTCCTCAAACCATTCTTGTAAAGTAGCCACTGCTCCAAACTCGCTCCTGTGATTGACTACAATCTCGATACAAATTTGAAAACTAAATGTGAGATTGTAGTCCATTGCGGGAGTGGTGACTACTTTACAACACACACAGGGACCATGGGGAACAAAAGTAGCCACCCTCCAGAAGGAAGGACAGTGTCAGCACCAATTCAGAGATGATTTATGGATCTACAGCCGAGTGATATACAAATAAGATGCATTTTTGTTCATAAGGTACTTGAATGCATTTTTTTACGGTTTAATCCTGAGTTTAGTGTAATTAAGCTTTTTTTTTTTTAGCATCTCAATTGTTTTTACCCATCTTTCCTTAATTTTGCCTTCCATTTCCTGTAAGGTCACCATTTTACTCCTACAGAAATTCAGTCTTAGTTGACATTTTTTTCTTTTCTGTTATAAATTGTTATTACATTTGTTTCCTCATATACAAAGTATATCCTATGGAGACAATGGAGCAAGCATTTCCCTGTACATTCACTGCTAATACCTTCACCTGACCTACAGAGGCTAAGGCTGGGCACACACCTTACAACCATCGCAAGACTTTTGTCTTGCGATGGTTGTAAGGTACTTAAAAAAACGCCCTGATGGGGCGGGCTTCCGATGACCGCAATGCCGAACAGGCAGTGTGCGCTTACGCACACCGGCCCGTCCATCTTACGAACATGCTACACACCCGCCGAACATCGTACGATGCTCGGGCAGGTTTGCAAACATGTTCGTAAGTTTAAAGTCGTGCGACCTTACAGTAGTAGAGGTCGCACGGCTTCCACACACCTTACGATAATAATACGATCGCGGGATTTCCCGCGATTATCGTAAGGTGTGTGGGGACCTTAAGGCAGATTTAGGCAGCTGCTAAGCATTTGTGGATAGGCAGATGTCTTACTGACAATTCTGTGACCATTCCTAAATTCTTCATTTAAGTTGTTAGACATACAGATGACCACTAGAAGGAACATCTTTATCACTGCATGCCACGTCTACATAAAATGCAGTAAAACACGCAAGTTAAACGTTGATTAAATAATTACTTTCAGGTACACTGCATTATAACTCATACTGTGTAATCAGTGAAAGTGCTATCCATTATCTTCAATGCCTACACCAGTTTGCTTCCATGTATATGTTCACGTAGCAAAATGTCACTACATGTAAATTTCAGAAACTAAGCATGCTAAAAGTCTTGGGAGTCTATTTGTATGTAATCATTGTTTTTTTTGACACCTATTCTCTGTTGATCTATAAAGATCCACTTCCATTCTAATAGACAAATCACGGTTAGCTACACATTCATCTTCGGCCCTGTAATGTTAGCTAAATATTATTTTCTGTGTATAATTATACACTGTATGTATTTCATTTTCAGATGATACTTCTTACTGTTCTTATTTGACAATGCAAGTCTACCAAGTCTGTTCAGGTGACTGCAAACCATATACTGTACATGCTTATTCAACAATTTGAATTATTCAGTGCAGTAATACATTGCAACTAGGGATGCACCGATACCACTTTTTTAAAACCGAGTACCGATACTTTTGATCAAGTACTCACCGATACCAATTACCGATAATTTTTCTTGAAGGGACAGGTCACATTTTTTCTAAAGCAATACAAACTAATGCTTTATGGTCACTTTCTTAATATTATGATTCATGAGATGACGAGGGAGCATGACGCCAGCTTCCCGGCCAATCAGAATGCCGGGCGCTGCATCATTACATGGCGCCCGGCTTTCCGGATTTGCTAACTTCCTGACCAATCGGGAGGCCGGGCAGCGCGTCATTGCACCCTACCCGGCTTCCTGATTGGCTGGGAAGTCGGCTCCATGCTCTCTCATCACAAGTGACGAGAGAGCATGGAGCCGTTTCCTGGCCAATCAGGAAACCGGGCAGTGTGTAATGATGCGCTGCCGGCTTCCTGATACAGGAAGTACTCGTGCTAGGTATCGGAGCATTTGGGCGAGTACGAGTATCGGTGCATCCCTAATTGCAACCAATCAATATTTTTTACTATGACCCAGTACACGATAAATTCGTTGCTTTGGGTTACTGCACTTACTGCTGAACACCAATTATCAATAGTTATGTACATTTACATTGGTCCAACCTGGCACTATGTAAGTATATATATTTTATACATGGAAGTAGAGCTGCAGCTAACGATTATTTTCAAAATCGATTAGGGCCACAGGGATTCTGTAAAACACTGTAGAAGCCAGATCCGCTACAGTGCTTTACAGCGATCTTCTGGGTCCTGGTACTGCTACTGTGTTAAGGGTCTTCCCCTCTAAAAACACAGAGGGGTTGCTTGATCAGCACAGCAGCCATTCAGCGAACACCTAGTATGTTAATCAATTAATACGTTCAATACGAGTCCCCCCTGTAACATAGTTTTATTACCCGATGATCTTGAGGGGTAAATCCATTATTTTTCCACTTCCTTTAAGAAGGAGATGAGCAGTTGGGTCTACAATAAAATTGCATAGCAGCATTGTCACCCTGTGGACAGTGTAGTTTTAGATGGATATGTAGTTGTAAGTGGACTAAGTAAGAGACAAACAAATTAAAGCCTAACTCCAGATAACACTTAACAGCTGACTGATATAAGAACCCCCGGTAGAGTGTAATGGTTTGTCCCAACCCTGTGACTGCCACTTTTCCTGGCTAGTTACAGAAAGTGGAAAAATAGCAGATCTACCAGCAGGATGAGCCACTAATAAACCTATATTAGAGAAAACAAAAACTGCTTTGTTAATGCTAATGATGGATTGTATCATATTTTGTCCTTTTTTTATCTCTATTTAACAAGGCGAGTTATCTCTCAGCAAGCATGTTAACTGCAGTTGTTTGATATAGAGACTCTCGAGGGAAGATCTACAAAGCTGTATATGACAATCCATCATGAGAATATGGAAGAGCGAGCAGATAAAAATGTAAAAGTCACATTGCCTTATTTTTGTAATGGTTACCTAGGAGGAAATGTACACTCAAAATATACGACAGTTTCCCTTTAAATGAAAAATAGTTCTACTGCTCTTAATACCTACTACATTTTATAAAAGGTTTTGTAGGAGTGATGGTCATTGGAGTGAGAGTGTACACTTGCAACTTTCTGCAGACATATCCATGGAGGTATTTTGTTGGAGGTTTCTAATACACTGCCTGACCATAAAAATGGTCCCACACTAATCATTGGACGGTCCTTGGCTTTGATTATGGAACACATTTGCTGTGGCAAAACAGCAGAATTCGTTAAATGTTCAAGAGCAGCTGTTGTTAAAGTGTTTAAAGACTGGACTGTCAGCCGAAAATCTGGGTCTGAACGTGCGAATTGTGGCCGTCAGCGACTAGTCCATGTTAGGGCACTATCTATCGGCATATAGATAGATATATATATATATAGAGCGAGAGAGAAATATTAAAGGAATCATGTTTTCCAGACAAAACAGTTGCCCCTATGTGTATGCACATCTGCCAAGTGTGTGGAGAATGATGGAATGCACAAGCTGCATGATTCTCTGTAGGCTGGACACATTCAGAAAAATTAAAGAATTCAATCTTCCTGGAATCAGATTAATCTGATTGAAATAACACATTAGCCATCTCTGTTTAGAATTCAGTGGCTACACTAGGCAAACGATGGATATCATTAGCGCAAGTTTATTTAGATTGACAAGGAAGCAAAGCGTTTTGTTTTTTTACATAAAATAACTCATTTGCATAGGAGAATTACAGCCCATTCCATGGAAAAAAAAAGTAATTATTCTTTTTATTGCAGTGATTGGTATAAAATTAGCTAAACTTGTGTTATACATTACATTGTCAAAAATATAAATAGTTTCTGTCAAATACGTTCTTCCCCCATCTATGGAGAAATTACTGATTGGAAACAGCAGCAAGTAACAAGCTGGCATCAACTGCTTTCCGCTGTTTGAAATGGATCGGTTTCAATAACAACAGGGTGCAAATTCACTTGAGATTTATTTACATCAAGCTACAGAAATGTGAAACACGGCAGCCAGTCAAGTTAACCTTTAGAAATGAACGTTTCTCTAAATCATGTCAGCAAATATGTCTCATGGCGGGACAGGTTTCTACATGAAAAGGCTAATCCAGAAATAAAATTTAAAAAAAAAGGGTAAAGTGTAGGAAAATTCCCATGTAGACTATTGCACGTTCCATACAGAGATCATGCCTAAGAACTGAACACATTCTATTCAATGAATGTGACCATCACATGTTAACTTAGGTCTTTATTTACAACAAAATCATGTCAAATTTATTTTTTTCTGATACCGCTTCTTTTCAATTTGGCCTTTTCTTTTTATTCTGGAGTTATTTCCATCTGTCATTTCAATGCCATTCAAGTTACACAACTCCCAGGATCCGGGCGACCCACCAGCTGCAGGGCATGATGACTCTACAAGCTGAGCGGCACCCCTGATAATTGTATGGCCAGGGATAGTAGCCAAGCAGAGGTTCACAGATTCTCTGGCACTGGGTGTAGCTTCTTCTACATTCAATGCAGCATATGCCTAGATGGTCCAACATGGGGTCAAAAGTCATGCCACCTTCTCCTTCCAGCTGCAATAAAAAAAAAGATGATTATCATGAGCTCTAGTTGTGTTCAATAAACGATAAGGAATGCAACTTTGTGCTGAAATGGCTGAAACAAGGGGGGGGGTGGGGTGATTTACTAAAGGCGAATAGGCTGTTCACTTTGCAAGGGAACTTTCCCTTACCTTAGTCAGTGTGGTGAAAATTCACTTTGCAAAGAAAACCATCACATGAGAGAAAAAAGTATTATCATACAGGATTTATATAACGCCAATAGTTTGTGCAGCACTGTACAATATAAGGAAGACATTACAATACAAATCAAGACAGGCCCTGCCCATGAGAGCTTACAATCTAAAATCTTTTTGCTTGCATGATTGGATGGGAGTCAGCAGAGCTTCACCTCATTACCTAATGTAAGGGAAAATTCCCTTGCTAAGTAAACGTCCTATCTCCCTTTAGTAAACCAACCCCATTGAATTAGATAAAACTATGCCATGCAAATAGGTGAGTGTTATATAAAATACTGAGCAGGGGTGTGTCATGTTCGGTATCTGCCCTTCATGAAGAAATGTATTTTCAATTCTTTTATGTTTAAATATTGCATTGATGTTGGTAAAGCTGGCCATATATAGCTCTTTCCAACAGCAGTCAATTGAAATATCAACTTTTGTCAAATGGAGGAGTGCTGACTGGGCCGATTGACCAGCATGTAGTCATGTCAGCACCAGCTCCTTCTATTCATAAATCAACTTTTGTCAAAGGAGTTGGTCCAGAAATTCTCAGCTGAACGGTGACTAGAGCCAATCAGCTGCAGTCACTGGGTATATGGACAGTGGCACACTCACGCACGAAAATGGATAAGTGTGTGGCCAGCTTTACAATGCATGTGGCCGGCCCAGCTTATGTTCAGGCCCCGATTTAGGTACGATACTGCCCAACTCACACTTGAATGATGACACCCTTTTGTATTAGCTAGGCCTCTTAAGTCATGTGATTAGTTTAATAATAATGAATGCCAGAATTTGATATGGAGGTAGCATGAAGTTTACCTAATATACAGAGCTACAGTCAACTATACTGACCACCAACAAGAGAAAGGAGACATGGTTTAATGTTTCCTGAATAATAAAAACTCCTCTCAACATCCCCCGTACACCCTTCCACATACAGTTGTTTTCCTTCTTTTACTTACATACAAAATAATACAACCGACTAAGAAAAACATTACCACAGTTTGTACATATTGAGGCTTGGTGCTGATTCCCTTAACCTGGCTGCCCTTGGCACTGCCCCACAAGTGCCATTATGATAAACATATCCTGCTTGTGTTACTAATCTGTCTATATTTCACCGTTTTATTTTTGTTTAGCTTTAGACTATCCTTTCTCGGAGAACTCATATTGATTTCCATTTTTTAAAAGTGATTCTGTCGCTATGTAGAAAAAAAAATGAAGGAAATGCAGCCTGTAAAATTAAGAAGCTTTGTACTCAAACCTCCCATACTGGGTGTGTCAGATAGTGTGCCCCCTACTGGACACTGTGGTTTCACCTGCCCACCCCTACTTTACTAGTGTGTGCCATATGTGGAAGGAACCACGGCACTTGGTGGGCACACTATCCAACAAACCCAGACAAGTCATTTAGCAGTGGCAGAACCCTTCAAGTGAACGTACATTTCAGTTACGACTACCACAGAGGCAAGTCCAAAGCTTCTAATTTTACAAGCTACCTCTTCAAATGTTTTCACCAAATGACAGAATCGCTTTAATCATTCATAGGCAGGTGAGTATATAGAATACTATCTGCAGTATCCATACAAATACAATCTGAAGGAACATGACATGAGTACTGTGTGTTGTAATTGCAATTTAAAACAGTTCCATGACTGGGGAGAAAGAGACTCATTTTGACAAGTCGACCTATATGAGATGATTGTCTCGGTTATTGTGTCTGCATTGCTGGGAATAACACAAGGCACTTTGGTGAAATCATCTAACTAAGCTCTCAGCTTGAGTGAAACAAGGCACAGAGCATTACACAGCGGTACACAAAAATAACACTGACAGAGGCAGCACCTGGGAAAACAAAAGGAAACAGCGAGGGACGGAACGCCAGAGTGAAGACAAAAGGGACTCCACTAATGTAGTCATCACATGTGTGAAAGCAGGAAGAAAGGTTTCACACAATGCCAGCATCGCACAAAAACACTGCCGTTTATTAGAACAGATGAAACGTGCACGCCGTCTATATTGTGAGTGGATAATCACAATTTCTAAATGCTTGGTACTATTAAAGTTAGAGCTGCAGCTAACGATTATTTTCAAAATCGATTAGTTAGCCGATTATTAGGTTCGATTAATCGGTTAATCGGATAAACAATAAAATAAAGTTTAAAAAAAGGCTCCAGTGATGGGACTACTAGTTTGTATTGAGGTTGTAGTCCATCACAGGAGCAAGCTTGGAGCGGTGGAAGTAAAAAAGAAAGATAGTGTGGTGTGCAATATAGTGAAATGGAAAGTGTAAAATTATACAGCAATGAATGCAGAATACCACCAGCTATAGAGGAATACAACAAATCCCAGCAATAGTACATAATAGCTGGAGGCATTCTGCATTGCGCTGTATAATGTACTATTGCTGGTGGTATTCAGCATTGCACCACTGTATAATGTATTATTGCTGGGATTTGTAGTCCTCTATACAGCGCAATGCAGAATATCACCAGCTATAGAGGAGTACAACAAATCCCAGCAATAGTACATTATACCGTGCAATGCAGAATATCACCAGCTATAGAAGAGTACAACAAATCCCAGCAATACATTATACATACAGTGTGGGAAAGTGCATGCTTACCTGAGCAGTCTTCCAGCAACTTGCTTCTGAGATCGGGCCTGTCTATCGGTGGCTGTCATCACCCCACACCTGCTCCTCCTTACTACATCTCCCCGCGTCCCTGTGCCGATCGTAGATGTGGGTGGGCAGTGAGTGTGCGGCGTGTGGAGCATGGATGCGGGCGGGTCTGGCAGCGGCGAGCGTGAGGTGGGGAGGAGGTACGGCGCACAGCGTGTGGAGCTGTGAACAGGGCCAACTGATCGGAAGCCGATTAATCGATTATTGAAGAAGTTGACAACTTTTTCAATAATCGATTATGTCGATTAGTTGCAGCCCTAATTAAAGTGGACCTTTAATCTGCATAAATACATTCCTAACATGTCACCATATACAGCAACAGCAGCTTAATCATACGGGGCTTGGTTCACACTGCTGTGTTGCGTTAGGTTGTGCTGAAAAAATAAAGCAGTGCATGTTCTACTTTCTTTTCCAGCACAATGTAACCCAACGGAATGGAGCGGTGTGAACTAGTCTCATTAACCCCCTTTGGGTTGTTGTCTGTTGGCATCAATTGAAAAACGGATCGTGATGGATCTGGTGTGAACGAAGACGCAAAAGCAGTTCTTGAACTCCAGTCAGGTGACTTTGCCTAGGCTGAGATAATGCCATGGGTCTGCTGCAGGCAGGAGAAAGCATTTCCGCTGTCTCTTCTCCCCAACAGTATAACTTTGTAGCAAGTCACAAGGTGAGAGGGTGCAATAGGGGCTGATCTGCATCAGACATTTTTGAACACAGGCACCAGGATTTACATGACTGTGTCATCCCTGAGCCAGCATAGTGATAGTGACCCTGGATGATGACTAAACAAACGTGGAGCCATTCTTCTGGAGAGAAAAACCAATAAAGGTATTTTCAGGGGGAGCAGTGTGTTCTCTGTGAGAGGTAATATATACCTGTAAGTGTTATACTTCCAGATTACTGAGTACGAACTTAGTAGGTCACTTTAACCCTTTCGCTGCCAAGGCCCTTTTTTTGTTGTTGTTTTTTTGCACATGTTATTATCCACATTTTAGGCCTGAAAATTACTTAAAACCCCCGAACATTATATATTTTCTGAAAGCAAAACTCTGTAGAATAAAATGGTGGCAGTTGCAAATGTTTGCGTTGCACGATATTAGTGCAACTCTTTATCAAACCCAAAAATGTTATAACCATAACTTCAAAGAAGTTGTGACACTGTAAAATCTACATAAAAACAGAATACAATGATCTGCAAATCTTATAAACCCAGATTTTATTCACTACAGAAAATAGAAAACATATCCAATGTTTAAACGAGAAAATTTACCATTTAAGAAAAAAATAAGGTCATTTTGAAATTGATGGAAGCAACACGTCTCAAAAAAGTTGGGGCAGGGCCATGTTTACCACAGTGCAGCATCCCCTCTTCTTTCAACAACACTGATCTTTCAATCATGTTACTGATCTGTTGCCAATTAACCTAATTAGTTGCAAAATGTTCTTCCAGCTCTTCCTTGTTACTACCACTTACTTTGCCAGTTTTTTGTTGCCCTGTCCCAACTTTTTCGAGACGTGTTGCTGCCATCAATTTCAGAATGATGCAATTTTTTTGTTAAAATGGTCCATTCGCTCAGTTTAAATATTTGATATATTTTCTATTGTGAATAAAATATGGGTTTATGAGATTTGCAGATCATTGTTTCCTGTTTTTATGTACATTTTACACAGCATCCCAACTTTTTTGGAATACCCATTTTTTGTCAAATATAAAAGATGAGGTTACAACGAGTAACACAATTTTGTTTTACATTTTTTAAAAAAGCTTCCATTGTAAAGCCAACAGTCGGCTTTACATAATGTAAACAGATAGCCTCCAGGAGTCTGTTTAAAGGGGCCCCACTGCCACCGCCAAAGATGTGTGGTGTTGGGCAAGGCTGTTAGGGGGGGTGGGGGTTGGGGGTAGTTGAATTGATTAATGACTTAAAGGAGAACTATGGGGTCAGGGCTTCTCCCCATAGTTCTCCTTAGGGTAACGGGAGAACACAAACTAGCGTCCTCCCGTTACCCTAAGCTCAGTATACCGCGAGCTACAGCGGTATACTGAGACGCCGCAGCCGGGACAGATCCCGACATTGCTGTCGAGATCCACCCAGCTGCCGGATTGACAGCTGGAGCTGCCTATCCAGAGGCAGATCCAGCTGTGCCCTCCCCTGTCCGTTCCGCCAGTCAGCGCTGGATGATGGGGTGGGGGGAATCTCTGCAGGGAGCCGTGAGTGACAGTCGCGGCTCTCTGCAGAGATAGATCGAGAAGTGAGAGAGCGACGGACGTGTTCGCTCCCTTCCGATCTACTGAGCCGACCTGTGACAGTTTAATTGTCACAGGTCAGCTCGAACTATGAGGATGAGTGAAAATCACTCGCCTCATAATTCTCCTTTAACAGCATGCATAGAAGAATTACCTACTGTATTTTCATGGTTGGCCCCATTGGCTGTCAAAGTACCAGAACAGTGCTTGCAACTGACTGGATGCAAGTGCTGTTTGATTAACAATTCTCTGTCTGGCTCCTTTGATTTTTTTGAAATCTAAGGATGTTAGGCAGCACAGGGTCAACCCACTGAGCGAATTTTGGCTGGTTCATTGATAATCAGCTGAAATTTTGTCCGTGTATACCCAGCTTTAAGGTGCCCATACACCTTACGATTATCGTACGATAATCGTATGCGATCGACTTTTCGTAATGCTAGATCGTACGATTGTCGTAAGGTTGCTGGCGTTTCCGTCTGTCAAAAGTCGTACAATCTACACTGCGCATGCGCGAACGAAAATACGACAAATCAGTTACCGCATTTCGTCCAGGTGCTTCTTGTTAATTACGGCTAAATTAATCTTGTGATAATCGGGGCAGGATAGGGCTGTCGTACGAAAATCGTACGACTATTCGATCATCGGACGAAACGTTTCGTCCGATAATCGTAAGGTGTATGGGCACCTTAAGATATCTGTTCTTTTAAATTTCACAACCTATTGCATGCAGTTCCAAAACCAATTTTGGCTGATTATCAGTCAATCACAACTCACCTGTCCAATCTGACCCCACACTGCACCAGACAAATATTTCTATTGCACTGTTAGTGTTGATACAGCTTTCTTTTGTTAAAATGAACTTTACTTTAAGAAGTCTGTTGTAGCATAAAGTGCAGTGTCAGTGTTCTCGCCTAACTGGCACTTGTGGCCAGATTTTAAGGAACGATTGGAAGAACAATACTTTATTGAAAGGCCTGACAAGAACTCCTGCAGGGAACGAATACTGATGAAATCTTGAAATGTGAGCTAGCTTTAAATACTCAAATGACATTGATCAGAAAACCAAGCCAGCACAATATTGATTTTCCACAAGGCATATCTAGTTTACATTCCTCCAGATTGTACTGTAAAGCGTGTTTTTTTTCCCCCCTTTTATACTTTCTAGCAAAAAAAAACGAAAAAAAAACCTTTAAACTCCCTTTAATGTGCATTAGATTACCACTGCATTTCTTCAGCAAAAGAAAAGGGAAAGTAGCGCGTACGCATCAAGGCATTCACAATTTAAATTACTGTTTTTCAGAACATTGTACACCTTGAAAAGCAGAAAATGCATAGCAATCTTTAGAAAAGAACGGTTATGGAAATTGCTTACTACGTGGGCTTCATGTAAAGTGCTGTTTGTAGAAAGAGAACTTTATGGCGGTACTATCACTAGTACAAGAACTTCAGTACGTGTAGTCTATCATCTACATGTTTAACTCTTTCTTCCCAGGGCTCCAAGTTCTTGTTAAAGAACACACAGCTCTTTTTTCTTCTGTATGAATTAGGACAAAATGTCTTTTTTTTGCCATTGTAACTGTTGACTGCAAATAATGGTGAATTGTGTGAGGAATAAATGACAAAACCATATTATTGCGACTATTCATCAGCTGCTTTGTGTAAAATAACATTACATCTTCTTGTGACTGAAGATTTGCAGTCGGTTTTCTGAAGGAGCCATATTATATATTCTATATATATTTTCTATATATGTAGAATGTGCTCATTTGCTATTACTTAGCACTCCATTTTAAAAGGTTTGGGTAGATGCTGGAGCTTTAAACCGACTCACAGTTACTGGTGCCTTTGGAGAATCTGGGCTTGAGTTCCGAGGTCTGTTCTGTGGTATTATGAGGGATTACCACTTTCCTTGTTGGGTTTTTAATTTATTAGATATTATATAGCATACAACATGAGTTAGAACATGCCAAGGAGGCCTGGTACACCGCAGCCCCAGCAAAAGGACAGAGACAGTGTCAGGAATTATGGTAGATCTCACTTTTGGAGTGTCCAAGACATACAGTATAAGACAGCAGCAACTAACTCCTTAGGCTCCACCCAATACTAAAATATGAATGTGGGTGTTCTGGCCCTTTAAAAATAAATTATACATGATAACCCTAATATTCAGTATTTAAACCTACAGTACTTTGTTATTAGAAACACTATTGCAATGAATATCTAGTTCTTATTATGTTTGTACTATCAGTAGACCACAGTTACTTGTGAGTCTTTTTCAAAATCCTGTCTCAGGTACACCTTCCTTGAAGCACCATGAGATTGCAAATTTACAAAAGATTATTTTACCGCTTTAGACTCTAGCGAAGTTTGTTCAGGCGACCCCGTCAAGGTGCAGGATTCCTATGGTCTATTAAGCCTACAAACAAGGCTGTGCTATGGACAAGTATAAAGTCACAAAGGATCCTCTGTGTTACCCAGTGTACGTTTGGGCTGATGCCAAGGCTTGGGATCCAAGGACCGCTTAGTCCTCACAGGGGACACTTAAAAAAAGGTTTAGGTTAGGTTGCATGACATCCTAAGAGGTGGCTCTTTGGTTTACACACTTGCAAGAACCAAACCTTTGGGGAAACGGGAATTCCAAAAACAGGGAGAAGTCACAACATGGGCAGGTAGGTGCAATTGTACAGGCAATAGCTCAAGGTTAATTGCAGGCAGACAGGTAAGAGGAACCAAGGTGCAAGCTGAAGTTGTTGCCAAGAAGGAATTTACAGATCAGAATAGACAGTTCTGGGTTCTGGATACAATGGGACCATGCAGTAAACAAGAACCTTTACTTGGGTACTTACACAACACACTGAGCAAAATTTAAACACAGCCCCCCAGGGAAGGCACCAGTATGGGAGGAGGTTGTAAAACATATACTCACAAATCAACTCAGCCGTGCTTATTCTTTGGACATTGCCCAACAATTAAATGATGCAGATAAAGCATCATAGTAGTGTTTTACTAGTATTTGTCCACTCATACTGCTAATCCAAAGTCTGCAAAATGATCATTCATTTTGATGCAGGATCCACGTGACATTTTGTATCCCCAGTGTTTATGGAACAAGTAAGGCTGCACTAATATATGTTTGAACCAAGGTCAGTGGTCTGACATCATGGCAAGCAGCAATATATTGTATTCCTTCAAAACAGCAAGCAGACCATTTCAGAAGAAAACTTATACCTGCTTCTATATGTCAAGATAAGCACTTTGACTAGAGATGCTCAGCTAAGTTTGCTGTTTATGTTTGCCTCAGCGTCTTACATTTACTTGCTGCTTACATGTTATGCAAATTAGAGGAAAATGTTAAATTTAGCAGGTATTCTAGCAGTTTAAAGTAAAGCTCATTGCGTCTGCAGTTCCTGCAGAAAAGAAAAGGTCATAACAAAAGATCCTTCCTATTCTGTAAGACACAGTAACAATGATATATTTTTTTTCTTGTAAATGGCAGAGCTGGATTGATGTGACGATGGCAAGGGTACAAGGTAAGAGAGCATGCACACACATATAACGGCATTATAGATAGAAGCAGGGTGCCATCCTTGCTTGGTTACAAATTGTCTTATTATGGAATGCTGAAAGGTGAAGTTGTAAAAGGATCAAAGTGTTGTAGGATTTCAAAAGAAAGAGAACAGTGCTATAGCATTAGCATGTCCAAAATCTGTTTAAGGATTACACGCTGCAGTTGGCACAAATGCCCTTTAATGTAGTTACATTAATAAATGTTCACATGTTCATTAACAGTTTAAGTTAGGCTGAATGGTTTTTGGCCACTGAATGGTTTATAACACAACGGTATATAACTTTCCAATCAGACAATATTTTAGTTGGACATGTATTATTTGGTCAAGTGTGTTGCTAGAACTAATAAGCAGCTAGTCAGGGCTGAGAATCACATGTGGGGTACGGAGCTGGTCAGGGCTGATAATCACAGTGTGGGGTACGGAGCTGGTCAGGGCTGATAATCACAGTGTGGGGTACGGAGCTGGTCAGGGCTGATAATCACATGTGGTGTAAGCAGCTGGTCAGGGCTGAGAATCACATGTGGGGTAAGCAGCTGGTCAGGGCTGAGAATCATATGTGGGGTAAGCAGCTGGGCATGGCTGATAATCACAGTGTGGGGTACGGAGCTGGTCAGGGCTGATAATCACAGTGTGGGGTACGGAGCTGGTCAGGGCTGATAATCACAGTGTGGGGTACGGAGCTGGTCAGGGCTGATAATCACATGTGGGGTAAGCAGCTGGTCAGGGCTGATAATCACATGTGGGGTAAGGAGCTGGTCAGGGCTGATAATCACAGTGTGGGGTAAGCAGCTAGTCAGGGCTGAGAATCACATGTTGGGCAAGCAGCTTGTCAGGGCTGAGAATCACATGTAGGGTAAGCAGCTGGTCAGGGCTGAGAATCACATGTGGAGTAGGAAGCTGGTCATGGCTGAAAATCACATGTGTTTTATGCAGCTGGTCAGGGCTGAGAATCACATGTGGAGTCAGCAGCTGGGCATGGCTGAAAATCACATGTGGAGTAGGAAGCTGGTCAGGGCTGAGAATCACATGTGGGGTAAGCAGCTGGGCATGGCTGAGAATCACATGTGGAGTCAGCAGCTGGTCAGGGCTGAGAATCACATGTGGAGTCAGCAGCTGGGCATGGCTGAAAATCACATGTGGAGTAGGAAGCTGGTCAGGGCTGAGAATCACATGTGGGGTAAGCAGCTGGTCAGAGGTGACCACTTAGTTGTGGGCTCTGTTTTATGCAATGGTTGACAATAAAATGCTGATGCTTTGACTTCTTTCTGCTGCAAGACTTGTGACCTGTGCCTCCATACATACTTTGGATTTGTATGAATATTTCTCTGTGGATGAGCACCTGGGCATTTACCTAAAAAATAGAGTGTAGTGGCCACCCTTTGGACAATATACACTGAGTGGCCAGATTATTATGACCACCTGACGTTTGTAGGCAAATTAGCTATAATTTTGCGCTGAAGTTGCTAGAGGGCCAGACCATTATAAATAGGGAAGCAGGTTGTTTACCACGATAGTAGAAGTGATTTGTTTCTGAAGATATGGGTAAACAACAGCCTTTGAATGTGGGATGATTGTTGGCGCTCAAGCCATGAAGCGAGTATCAGCAAAACAGCAGAATTCGTTAAATGTTCAAGAGCAGCTGTTGTTAAAGTATTTAAAGACTGGACTGTCAGCCAAAAATCTGGGTCTGAACGTGCGAATTGTGGCCGTCAGTGACTAGTCAATGTTAGGGCAGAACGGAGAGTGGCAAGACTGGTACAAGGCAACAGAAGGGCAACAGTGCAGTGCCAGATTCCTCGCATCACCTTTCAATCTGGCCACTCAGTGTATATAACATATAATCTAAACGGGTTCATCACTAAAAGTAAACTTACATGGTAAGGGTTCTCTGGGTTAAAAGGAACTTCTCTTTCAGCAGGCGGTTGTGTTTCATTGGCTGGCTGAGCTCGTCGGCTTCCCTGGCGTCTTGTGTTCACTTCCTCTGCTGCAGCATCAAACTGGTCCACGTTGATGTTCTGAGCTTGTCTCGCTCTTCTTCTAACATCTCTTTTACCTCTTTGACTCTCTAAAAACATGTGAAGCGAATTAGGATGTTCCTCAGAAAACACATGTATAGACAATGTGTCCAGTATACCACTAGTGATACGTGTCATGTCATGCATCCAAAAAAAGATATATGTAAAGGAATTATTAGAAACCAATCAGAAATATTATTTCATTGAATTAAAGCCTAATCGAATTTTCATTCCAACTCAGCTAATTACATTCCAGGGGCAACAAAACAAAAAGGTAGAAAAAGTCTTACAGTTCCTTGTAGAAAGCAGCCACAGCACCATACAGAAGCCTCTCTCTGAAATCAGTGCTCTTTCTGAAGAAGTTTGACCTAAAGTTTTGTCATAAGTGAAGCTCATGTTCCCTGCTAGTTGGGGACCTCTAGCTCTGACTCAGTAAGGGGCATGTTGGATCTCTGCAGAGAGAACACTGCTTCCACACATAGAGCAAGGGTCTTTCTCTATAGCATGCTGGCAGGGGACAGACTTTTACTCAAGCTGTGGCTGCTTTCTAAAGAAAATGAACAGAAAGCCTTTGTGCACCTTTTGTTTTGATGCACCTGGAAAGTTTTTAGCACATCTAAACTGAAAATTCAGTTGGACTTTAACTTCAATTGATTTAGGTGGTTGCTATGCTGCTGAACCTGGCATATCATATTTGCTCTTTGCCTTGTTTTATTGAGTAACACTGTGTCTAACTCAAACTTTCTGCCCAAGTCAATAGCAAAACAAGAAGAACAAATGTAGATGGGGCAGCCCAATAACCCATGAGCGTATGTAATTCTCAGTGGTTTAACAACTGTCTGGGTTGCATTGCACAGCATGGCAGTTTTTTAGGTTAATGTTTACCAAACCAGTCATCAAGTCATACCAAGTTGTTCTGCATATAACTTCACATATACATGTGGGGGGGAGCAGTATGTAGAATTTAACTACCTGAGTGGACATATGCACTGCAGGGGCTACATGAGGACAGGTTTGTGGAACACTTTAAGTGAATAATTGATTAAGAATTCATAGTAATCAAGAGATCATAGTGCATATGTGACATAACATTTAATTGGTAGATGGTAACACTTTCCTGATTACATTTTCCTAAGAATAAAAAGAAATCCACTCAAACTTTGGGGGGGTGAGTGATCTAAGGTGGGCACTACATGTAAGCATAACACTATACACAGCTTGCCTTAATCGACCTTCACAAAAAAACAAATATAGGTGGAATTCTGATTTAAATATGATCTTTTAAAATAATTACTAGAGTGTGACAGGGTTAAAACCTCTGCCAATTTGTTTGGGGAGATGAACCGGTCTATTTATCCCAGTGACTATTGTAACTAGCATAGAAAGTGAAGACGGGAAATGAGACAGATCCCCCAATGAGACAGACAGCAAAAAAAAATACAGATTTCAACCAATAAAGTGGAACTGAACTCAATAAGTGAAGATGCTATAAGGAAAATTCAGATCATGCCCAAGCAGTATAGAAATTAACCTTTTGTCTGAAAAATAGCAGTCACCTGTTATGTGAGGGTGCCTAGTCACTCCTGTGCCGACAGTCTCGTGGCTGTATATCTGCAGTGTGAGATCTCAGCCACTGCTGCCTCTGACTGCTGAGAGATTTGGTGATGTCACTACTGTGCTGCACGCTGTTCTCCAAGTCTTTAAAATGAGGATGCAAAGTTGGTCACCTTAACAAAGTTTAACCCGCAGGCGACTGCTAGTCTCAGCTGTGATTTGGAGATTTGGAGTGAGATTTGGTGATATTATTACTGTACTGCCCAATTATCTTCTTGCTAAAAGCTCTAACATGTTGAAGCTAAACTCTTGACTTTACTATGGAGACCTCCTCTACACAGAGACACACTGCAGAACAAAGCTTAGTAAGTCAATAATAGGCAAAACATCAGTTACAGAGAGACTACAGACAATCCTGGTGACATGTCATTTGCCCTTTGCCTGGTTTTATTTGGGCACAACTTCCAGAGTTCAGTTCCTCTTTAACTTCCATCGCCAAAACAGTAGATACACTTTAATATTCATGTCATGATCAATATCACACAATATTTCAGTTCTATTTCCTTGTTAAAAAGCTTTGCTGCTCATTTTCAACATTAACAGCACTTTTAGGTACCTGAGAGCCCTTTTAAATGCTCCAATGTCTATATATAGAAAATGCACCTTTGGGATATGTAGGTCGGAGCCAGAAGATGGGAAGATCGGCACACAGTTCCAGGATCTTCGAGCTCAGAAAGCTGTTATCCTTCACTGGCTGGTCTGCAGCCACCCAGATAAGAGAATTCTCATCAAATTTGGCCGGCATGACCTCATCTTCCTGGCATGATAGAAGAGACAAGCAAACTATAACACACAATGTTCAGAAATGTTTACATTCCACTTAGATTTTCTTATTAATGTTTGGTGTTAGCGTTCAAGTACTTAAATTAGTATTTTGTATAATGAGGACTCTAAGGCCTACATTTATCAAAGGCAGCACAGAGATTTTACTCCTTATCTTCCACTTATGCTAATGGGAATTAAACTAAAGCATAACACCATTTGCTGAAAGTAGGTCTTGGTGTTTTATCTGTAAATTAAAACTAGCATACTTTAAAATGACATATGAGCTAGGAGTATATAGGCCAAATGAGTCTCGTCTCTCATAGACTGACATCAAAACGAGCATGTTCTACATTTTATGTTTGAATTAATAATATCATATATATAGACACACACACCTGAGAGAAAAAATTTCTGAACCTTAGTAATTATCAAGTCCCTGCATGAATGTCCCCTGAAGAGTCTCATTATAAATTCATTATAAATGATTTAAACACCTATGGTCATTACTGGAAAAAAGTTTTTGAAGCTTTGTATTAAAGTTGAACTCTAGGTAGATATAAAAGATACAAATGAATGTAGCTTTGTAATCATTAATACATAATTAAATGTGTTTCTTTTAATGCAAGGACCTGACCTGCTATCAGTCCTTGCACAGCATGGCTGGAGTATGAGAGGAAGAAGCAGTACACAAAGCTAATCAGTTCATGCTCTGGCATGAGAGGAGAGGAGGAGAGCAGAGTGACACTGTGGTGCTTATCCTTATTGTTGAATTGATTCATCCCTCAGTGTTTGCAAGTTTTCCAGGCTGAGGCAGAAAAACAACCCCGGACCATATAGCCCCTTTACTAATCTTCACAGCTGAGATAAGGTTTTGGTGTTGCTATACAGTGCTTTGACTCTATAAACATAACACTGTGTGCCTTTACACAGAAAATTGTTCCAGTAGCGCTGTGGAACAGTAAATATAGCAAGTCTGAGATAGGCGGCAATGCTTTTTTTGGTGAGCTGTGTTTTCCTTTGTGGTTACCTACCATGAATACACGCATTATTCAGTGTTTTCCGTACAGTAGACTCATGTCACTCTAACAGTATGCCCTTCATCTGATATTTTAAGGATCCCTGCTCCTAGGAAGAGCGGCAACAGTGCTGAATTGTTTCACTTTGTAAACGGTTTGGCTTTGGTCTGATGTCTTTGAGGTACAATAATGCTTTTTCTTATGTACTCTAAAGTAACTTTTAGGGCTTGTTTCCACCATCCCGCACGTCTACCGCAATGTCCCGTGCATGCATGATTTTGCATAGTGAATGCACGATTTTTTGCGATCCCACCCGCACTGGAACACAGGGAATTTTATTACCATGCAATCCTGTGCGGTGATCATACTGCGAGCGTGTCTGCAGTGCCATTGACTTGAATGGCACTGCCACGCCCCCTGCCGTACCAGAACGCAAGGAGACTTTATATATGTGATCCTTTGCATTCCGGGCATGGGATATTGCGGTAGACGTGCGGGCTGGTGGAAACAAGTCCTTAATCAGAACACATTGAGGGCAGGTTCACACCATTTTCCGGACCAGATCTGGAACACAGTGCATTGCGTTTTGCCGCCTTTTTTGGCACATTTTTACCACGATTTTGCCACATTCCGGAGTTGTTTTTTTTGCTTCCGATGGGCTTCCAGGTACGTTCAAGTGCATTTGTATGCATTTTTGATGTGTTTCCATGCGTTCCAGACCAGACAAAAAGAGACATGCAGTATTTTTCTGGTCTGGTCTGGAACAGACTGTACCGGTGTGAACAGAGGCCAGAAATAGCATAGGGATACATTAGGATGCATTTTGGGTGTGGAAACAATCTGGTCTGGAGAATATCTGGATGTGGTGTGAATGGGCCCTCAATGTCAACATAATGCTGTTGTGAAGATCAGTCGACAAAACCTTACCTAAATAGATGACAACAAGTTCCCACACACTAGTTAAAACAGCTCCCCAACTGCCCTCATCACTGTCCTTCCAGAGTGACATTCATCCAGTCCCAAAGAAAATGGTGCCTGTAACCTACTGAAGTGAACAGAGACAATAGACTACCCCCTCCTCAGCATTGAGCTGGCCATACACTAGTGGATTTTCATATTAACTTTCATTAAAAAATCTCATCAAAACATTCGATAATGCCATAAGATTTGACAAATGCTGTTTGAAATCTATTTGGTTTTATCATCCAATTTTTGAATGAATGGAGTTTGCCTGAATAAAAATCATTCACTTTAGAATTCAATTCCTTCAAAAACAAATCCCCAACCTGCTCTTTCAATTTTTTTCTTCACTAGAGTTAATAATTGATTTGACCCCATTAACTATTGGAAAATCGAGTGAGCATTCTGAAAACTGATTTTTATCTAACAAAATATGAACCGTGTACACTTAGCTTTCATAAATGGCGCCAAATGCTTTATTTATGATAATAGCCTGCCACCAGCAATGACAGTACATCATACAGCAGAGTGTACCAAGATGACTAGGGGTGACCTGGAGCATGTTCATGGCACACCAGTGATGCCCGAGATACAGAAGAACACTATGCAAAAATATGTCTATGTAATAAAAAAATACCATGCACTGCCTGGCCAAAAAATAGTCACACACTCTGATAGTTGGTTGTACCACCTTTAGCTTTGATTCCGACACGCATTCGCTGTGGCATTGTTTTGATAAGCCTATGCAATGTCACAACTTTTATTTATGTCCAAAGTTGCATTCATTTTTCATTAGACATGCACAATTCGTTTTGTACCGAATTGAAATTCGCCCGAATTTCTGTAAATTTGAAAGCATCAGAATTCCATACCAGACCCATAATTCAGGCAGCAGCCTGGCAGGGCAGGAAAGGGGGGATGGACGAGCGAGCACCCCCTCCCTCCACCATACCAGGCCACATGCCCTCGGCATTGGGAGGGTGATTGACAATGGGGGCAAGGGCCTCTTCCCCACAACCCTGACTCGGTGGTTGTGGGCAGGGGGGGGGGTCATTTGCATATGAGTACCCCCTTTCATAAGGGGGGCACCCAGATGCCACCACCCCCTTGTAAATGAGTAGGGGGTACATAGACCCCTACTCATTTACTGAAAGGTTAAATAAAATGTAAATAAACACATATCACCTGAGAAAAAATTCCTTAAATTGAACAAAAAACAAAACACGATTTTTTTACAATTCCTTTATTTATTTATTTTTTTTTAAATGTCCCACGAAGTAATGTCACACAAAGTCGGCCAACAATTGAAAAAACAAAAAAACTCCCTGATGCAATGTTTACATCGAGCATAAATAAACAAAGCCTGCTATTGGCTATTTAAAACTGAAATACCCAATAGCAGGCTGGCTAATGCTCCGCCCAATGCCTGATGTCAGTCAGAGAGGAGCAGACCTGAGAGACAACGTTGTCTCTCAGGTCCGCTCCTCTGGAACCGACAGAAGGCAGGGGGTGGAGCAATAGCCCTTCTGTAATTTGCTATTTTAAATTGCAATAGCCAATAACAGAAGGGCTAATGATCCACCCCCTGCCTTCTGTCAGTTGCAGAGCAGCGGACCTGAGAGAGAAAGTTCTGTCTCAGGTCCACTCCTCTGTGACTGACATCAAGCATTGGGTGGAGCATTAGCCAGCCTGCTATTGGGTATTTCAATTTTAAATAGCCAATAGCAGGCTTTGTTTATTTCTACCTTTTTTTTTTTCAATTGTCAGCTGACGATTGTTTGTGGTGTCAGAAATTAAAAAGTAAATATGTAATGACACTTTTCTGCAAAAAATTATAGTTGGTAGTGATCATTTAACTCATCCGAAAATTAAAAAAATTTGGATTCATCCGAATATAAATGCCGAAACGACTTGACTTTCAGACCCGAAACCTGAAAAACGAAATAACGAAACGAAACACGTTTTTTGGCCTGCTTACATGTCTATTTTTCACCAAAATCTTGTAGTGATGATTGGAGGAGTCGGACCACTGCGTAAAGTCTTCTCCAGCACATCCCAAAGATTCTCAATGCGGTTAAGGTCTGGACTCTGGTGGCCAAGCCATGTGTGAAAATGATGTCTCATGCTCCCTGAACCACTCTTTCACAATCTGAGCCTGATCAATACTGGCATTGTCATCTTGGACTACACCCATGCCATCAGGGAAGGAAAAATCTATTGATGGAAAAACTTAGCCATTCAGTATATTCAGGTAGGCTGCTGACCTCATTTTTTGGGGACATAACATTGCCGAACCTAGACCGGACCAACTGAAGCAACCCCAGATCATAACACTGCCTGACATGCAGGTGGTGACTTTTCTTTTGGCCGGGCAGTGCATATCTGTAATAGTTATGCACACACACCGTCTTCAAACAAAAACAATCCATGTCCTTCCACATTATCTTCAGGCTTTTTGACCTAGATTTTTATTACCAGTTACCTTATCTATGTGACACCCTTCATGCCATTCTAGAACACATATAACATCTGTAGTATAAGTATAATCCAATATAGCATTAGTACTAAAGCCATGTTCTCAAGAATGGTAAATCTGTTTTAATTCTGTTAAATAACATGGTCTTAGTTTAAAAATAAATCTGTAAGGCTGGTTTGTATTGTAGTTATTTTAATTAGTGCCAACATATGGATGAGCGAGAATGAAGTCTGGCCTCCAGTCTAAAGTGTGAAAAGCATGTATATTGATTATTTATACCTCACTAAGAGCACCGATGGGCATGTTACAGCACCCTGAATACACGACCCTCACACACTGCCAGAACACAGGGATATGGTTTGAGCTGTATTAATGTACTTCTGTGAGTGATGAGCAGAAACCACAGAGCAGCCATCTGTCCGATTGTATTTATGTCATTATTCCGGGCGCAGTACGTCTCACTTTTCTTTCTACGTGTAACTACAGACTAGAAAGTGACAGCAAATTATGAAAGTGAGAAGATATTATGAGCTAAACAAA